GCCCTATAAATACATATATTTATATAGAAAAATTTATTATGATGATGTAATGGATTACTTGGATAAGAGAAGCAGGGGAGTAAAAAGAGATATACCTCATGCCGAGACGTGGGCCGAAAGAATTGTTAGAAATTGCCGGAACAAAGTTGATTACAGCAGGATGTTCAGGAAAAGAATACAGGCAGATACTGATTTGGTAGAAAGAACAAAATATAGTGGCAACTTCTTTTATTACCATAATAAGCAAACATTTAACAGACATTTTTCACCTTTGTTACATTAGGAGAAATTGAATCACGATATAGTCAGAGCAAATTCTAGATATATTTTTGCAATGTTTTTAATTGCTGCTGTATATTGTTCTGTTTTTGTTAATAAACATTTCACTTATAACTAGTTATTTTTTAATTAACACTCCATGAAAAATATTTCCAGATACCTAGACTAATAATTTGGTTGACAGCTTTCTGTCGACATTATCAAAAATTAGTTTCTTATGCGATTTTCTGGAGCGGAAAAAGTTGCTTATTTTTAATTGACTCACAGAGGCTTAAAAGTAACGATACAATTACATTTTCCACTTGCAAAATGATTTGACACCAGAATTTCATCGCCTCTACTCAAAATGGTGACTACACTTTCATACAAGACTGCTCCTTCTCATAGAGCTTTGAAAACCTAAGTTTTTTTAAGGTAAATGTACCAACCATTGTAGCAGCACATCAGAGACTACCAAATTTTCCGATTTGAACCCACTCGACTATTCTGTTTTACCGTTTTAAAAATTGACTGGCGTCAGTTAGGGGCAAACACTTACCTCTTATGTCATGTCTAGAATTCGGATCCGAGGGGAACAATGAGAATATTGTCGTGGAACACTTTAAAATGTCACGTCCCTCTCGAAGTACTGTAGAACGATGGAAAAACGATTTCCTGGAGTTAAATTTTGATGGCGCAAAAATTCGGTGCAATATTTGTGAGAAGATATCATGTACCCCTCAGATCCGGGTTATAGCATTACCACCTAAAAAACAAGGCCTCAGAGCTACGGTGTGATGTCACAACTGCTAGTTTCAACCGAGCCAGCGTGATTTGCCGTGGGTATTGTAAAAACGAATAATAAACAGCGCTAAATTATTTGTAGCATTGAGTAAGGGCTTTCCTGTAAAAACGGAGTTGCCAATCGTGAACTGAGCACTTACATCGCGTATCCCATTTTTTTTGTGTGTTAAACTATTGTAAAAATGAATCTAAGATTAGTTTTTAGATATTTTAAATTTATGAAAGAAATTTGCTTTTTTAATGTTTCAAAAATATTTTATTAGAAACTCTACACGTGTTTCGGCTTTTTTAGGCCTTTGTCAAGAGTACAGAGAATACTTGACAAAGGCCTAAAAAGCCGAAACACGTGTAGAGTTTCTAATAAAATATTTTTGAAACATTAAAAAGCAAATTTCTTTCATATATTTAAAATATTTAATGATGTTTCACAAGGAGCCAACCGCAGAATCAGTTCAGTGTAGTTTTTAGATTTAAATGCCAAAGAAATAAATTGGAAATCGATGCCATATAATAAAATATATTTTAATGAGAAATTTTAAACAGTTTATGAGGTAATAAGTCAATTGCAAATATACTACCAAAATTTTACGAAAACATAAATATTTTATTATTAATAATTGAATAATGAATGCTAAACATTTTTTAGATTACAAAATAAAATAGCTAGGTATAAACAAAAAACAAATGCTTTATTGATGCCACCAAATTATTAATTTTGCGTTCTGTTTGTCAAATTTAAAATTTCTGTGAATAATTTAAGGGTGCAAAATATTCATTTTTTTTCCCTTAAAGCATTATTTCTCGACATAGAAAAAGTACCCATACAACGCTTCTACTCACATGACATGGTGTGGCAGTAAAATACATTAAAAAAATTTTTTGTATAAAAACAAAATATCGATGTTCTTGGTAATAATTAAATTTAGTACAAATTTCGTTTTGTATTTTCCTCAATATTCCTCCTAAAAACGACTTGTGCATTTTTCTTGTAACATCAGAAAACGCCTCGGGATTTGCATACACAAGTATTTTTTTATTATCTAGTAACCCCTTTAATTTCATAAATCAAATCATTTATTAGTAATGTTACATGTTACAAAAGTATTAAAATTTATGAAATAGAACTTTAAATAATACATTAATAATAGATAGAGGTACCTATACCTATTATATTATTAATGCATATTATTTAATGTTCCAAAGGTGTACCTCTATCTGATTTATTATTTAAGAAGGTAGAATTATATAATTACTAATTATAATTAAATATTTAATAATGTTTCACAAGGAGCCAACCGCAGAATCAGTTCAGTGAAAAAAAAATGCTCCTACAAAAAAAAATCGAATTTGTACTTTTATTGTCATTTTACATTTTATTAATCGATGTTTAAATTATTCATGGAGGTGATATAAACATCTAGCAATAGAAAAAACATTTTCACAATTTCAGGTGCTATTTAGACATACCTAAAAGGGTTCGCCGATTCCATTTTCTTTTTTTAGTCAATAATTTGAATTGTAAATGGATAATGAAATATGAATAAACAAAAGTGCGGCAATTTTAAATTTAGTAAACAACTGAAAGTATTGATGAATTATGATGATTGATGACAGCATTAACAAGAATTTGTGAAATTTTAATGTTTTGTACTCCCCAGTAAAATAAAAAAAATACCATTAAAAAGAAATATAAAAAAATCTTAATATTTATTTATACCGAGTGATGTTAACCAACAAAACATTTTATTTTGGTTATTGTATTAGATATTTTATTTGCTCACAATGATTCTAGTTATTTACATTACATTTGTATTTTATTTAAAAAACTAAAATGATTAAATAGAAAAAATAATTGATGCTCCTATCATCTAGGCATAAAAGTGTTCCTTCACCAAATCCATTTCTTTATAGTAAATAATTTGAATCATAAACTAGTAATGAGCGACATAAAAAGTATTTAAAACACTTTATCATACGTCACATCCGTATACAGCGAGAGTTCTTTCATGTCGAACAGGCGTTAAACGAATGCAAATGATATACATAGGTTGTGGTATTGATGTGGTTCGGACGCCACAATAAACTGTAGGGCCTCGTCTCTCTTTACCCAACACAAAATCCTAGGATTTTCTGGGGAGTTACTTCGGTAACTTAGGAGACGGTTAAGGAAACATTTTAAGGAAACATTTAAAATATCACATTCTCTGTACAACACATCACGTGATATTTTTCTTTTTTATTTGTTCAATTACGTGAAATTTGATAGGATTCTTGTTCAGTGGTAGGTATTACGCAAGTATCATTTAAGACAGCGTATTTATCCAAAACGTAAAATTTTAAATCGTTTTTAAACTTTTTCTATTTTCTTGTATTTAATCTACTAAATCTGCATTTTATTTAAAATTACCGCTGTTTTCATTGTCGTTTATCATCCATAGATGAAGTTTAAGAGTGATTTTGTTGGGGACCTGGTGAAAACGCCGCCTTGATTTTTATATTCTACTAAACGACCTTTAATCCGATGCTGTCATCACATGAAGCACAAGGTTAGTTTTCAAATTTTTTGAACTCCCTACCGAAAACATCAAGTTAAGTATTTGACAAAATGATGAAATATGTGATTTTGAAGTATTTAACTGCTTTACTTAAAGTTTCATAACTTCGTAAAGGGAAAAAAATTGCCTTCAACTGATTAGGTTGAAACGACTTTAAATTAGGTTATTTACCTTTTGCTACTGAACGAACAACCTCTGTGCTCTATAGCTATTCTGAAAACTGTGAGCGAACTATGGTTATCATCACACAAAGAGGGTGCGTCGTTGTTAATTACAGGCAACTCCATCTTAAGGCGCATATAGACGGTTCACATATTAGATGTTCATCCTGGATGAATCATCCAAAGTGAAAAACAAGTGAATCTTCGAAACAATGAATAATCAAAAATGATCACTTAAGGCGAAGGAAGAACAAAGTAAGATCAAATCCCACTTTTGATCATTCTGGGTGAATCATCGTAGATGAATCACCCAGAAGTAAACCGTTTAAACATATACAGTACGACAACAGGTGTATGCAACTGGATTAGCCAATCTCGCAACAAACCATATGAAGGCATGCAATGTTGCCAGACTGTAATTTTAGAAATTTTCTAATGGGCAATTATTATTATCATAAAAGTAACTTTTATCGGAATAACACCGTTTCTTTGTAACAAATTATATCAAAATTGTAAGTGTTACGCATTATATTTGTTTCGACAACATAAATCTTTTCACTTGCCATAAAGGAAGGGTAGATACGTCTAAGCAAAAATTATTTCTACGCCTCCTTCATCTTGGATGATTTATCCAAAGTGAAGCGTCTAAATAAGTCTTCGTGTGAGCATGCGACTTGGTCGATACCTAAGCGCAGGAGACGGGAGATCGATCCTGGGCAAGGACCTCGAGTTGTTTCGGACAGAGAAATTAATTCTAGGATATTCAGATTGGGATATGTGTCTGTTGTCCCTTAATGTGTAACCTTCTGTATCCCGTACCTGTGGTCAATTTATTAATTAAATGTGGTCTATAACTTTCTCATATTCTGTTTGCTGTCGCATATCTAAAATGATACTTCAGAATTTGTATTAATAACAAAATATGCGTTTATTGCATCTTTTTTTTAACCCTTTATTTAAAGTCCGCCTATTTCCGCTACCACCGACGCCCAGAAAAGGAGCTAACCCATTACCACTTATTAACAAGGCCTCAATACTGCGGTGTGACGTCACAAGTGCTAGTCCAATTAAGCCGGCGTAATTTGGCGGGGGTACCGTAAAAACACGTAATAGACAGCGCTTAATTAATTTTAGCGTTGAGTAAGGGCTTCCTGTAAAAAGGGTGTTGCCATTCGTGAACTGAGCCCTTACATCGCACCCCATTCATTTATTCTTGTGTGACTTCTTGATCGAGTGGTAAGGACACTCTTTTCTCATCCTGGAGTCCCGGGTTCGATCCCCGGTTAAGGAGCTAGGATTTTTTCTGAATCAGAAATTAATCCTAGCATACTTGGACAGTGGGTGTGTGTCCATTGTCTCTAAATGTGTAGCCCTCTCCCACACAAGGTACCTTGAGGTCCTTTCAGGTTGTATAACTGTGCTGTTTAATTTATTTTAAATTAATTTAAATTTGTAGGTGTTAAACTATTGTGAAAATGCATACAGCAATAATTCCTAGATTCAAATTTCAAAAAATAAATTAGAAAATTGGTACGATATAATAAAATACATTTTAAACACAGTTTATGATGCAATAAGTCAATAAATAAGGGGTTTGTCATATTAAGATTAACAAACAAGAACTACGGTTTAAAAAGATCAAAGCTAAAGATTGTTACTGGTCATTAAGTAAATAATGACACTGAATATTATTATTTCTATTCATCAACATAGATTTATGAAGGGTCGTTCTACAAATTTATTGTGTGTAACGCAATATATCTCTGAATTCCTAGATAAACATAGTCAAACAGATGTTATATATACAGACTTTTCTAAAGAGTTTGATAGATTTTACCATGAGTTACTACTTAATAAGCTAGAAAAAATTGGTCTCTAGTTTTATTTAAATCTTATTTAATGTGTAGGACTCAATACGTTGTTCTTAATGGGTTTAAGTCTATTGAATTTATTGCCTCATCTGGGGTTCCCCAGTGTTCTATTTTAGGGCCCCTGTTTGTTAATATATTTATTAATGTTATAGTACAGAAAATAACCTTACCCTGTCTGTTATATGCTGATGACTTAAAAGTCTACTCAATTGTCAAAGATATAAATGACTACCTCCAACTTCAAACATGTCTTAATAAAATAAATACCTGGTACACAGTAAATAAATTAAAACTGAACGATAACAAATGTAACGTAATGTCATTTTCTTTAAAAACGTCACCACTTACCTTCGATTACCCTTTGGACAGAGACCAATAACTTTTCGTGACCTTGGAGTCGTATTTGACGGTAAATTATCCTTTACTAATCACATAGATGCCATTGTCTCTGAAGCTTTTAAAACTCTTGGATTCATAGTACGTTCTAATCGTGATTTTACTGATACTTTTACGTTATCAGATCGAAACTCGAGTATGCGTCACTTATTTGGTGTCCAGGTTATGATGTACAAAAAATAACTTAGAAATAGTTCAGCGCAGGTTTCTTAAATTACTTTGGATTAAATCAAATGGTACATATCCAGCTAATGGTTTTCCGCATAATGATCTGCTTGAGTGATATTTGGTGTCTAGTCTTGAACAGGAAAGTATACTTCTCTCAAATGTTTTTATTAAATATGATTTGAACGAAACAACTACTCAGCGGGCAAATACCCCGACCTGCATTGGATTATACCTTCAAATCATGATAGATCGGTAGCCAATATCATTTGTCAATTCCTAACCAGACATAGACCGGTTTCGAACTTATTAGTTCTCCTCAGTATGCCATAGGTTATGGAACAGACAAATGATAGTGGCCAACCTGCTAGTCATATACTGACTAAGGTAAATTGAGTAGTGGTGATAGGTATGTGAAACTTCTCAAGGAATTGACAAATGATATTGGCTCCCAATCTATCATGATTTTTGAAGGTATAATCCAATGCAGGTCGGGGTATTTGCCCACTGAGTAGTTGTTTCGTTCATATCATATTTAATAACAGTAGTTTAGTCCACCTGGGCTAGAGGTCGCCGCACTCGGTACTTGCTCCGCAAGTCGCTATCCGCCACAGAGACATCTATGATGTCGGTCGGATAGTAGCATTTGGACCATATGAGAAGTTTCACATACCTCTCACCACTACTCAAATGTTTTTGTTTAAAGTGCTGCACAATGATTTTAATACATCTGAAATACTTAGTAAATTAATTTTTTTTATTCCCAGAGTAATCTCTCGAAACGCCGACGATTTCTATTTACCCACTCCACGTACCAACATATTGAAAAATTTACTGATATTCAATATCTGTAACAATTTTAATGATTTGTGTAGTGACATCGATTTTTTTAATTGCAGCCTTAATGCTATAAAATTTAGAGGTCTGAATTAAATAGTGATTTTATTTTGTTTTTCTTTAATTCAAATATAATACTTTAAGATCTGTTTCACTTATTTGTATGTGTTTAATTACATATTCTGTCAGTTAGGTGTCTACATTTGCATGTATTGTTACTTTAATTGTTTATTGCTTAATTACTTCTTCAACCCTCAAAGTGAGGAAGTTATGTATTCGTGAAAAAAATTTTGAAAATTTTTATTGCATTTCTGGACGAATCTCGACGAATTATGACGATACACAAAATTTCAGACAGAAAAAAATTTCTGTCTGTGTGTCTGTCTGGTTCGCGATAGCAGCTACAGCTTTTGAGATAAAGTTTTCAAATTTGGTACACACATAGAAGTCAACGAATAGATTGAGTTCGTTATGAGCAAAATCGGTCCCAATGTCTAAAAAAAATATTAGTGACATTCCACCAATGCGACTTTTTTGAAACGTCAAAGTGACTTTTTTTGAAACGTCAAAACGTGACTTTTTTGAAACGTCAAAAATTACTTTTATTATAAACTCCACCACACGTCGAGTTTTACTACGGTGAGGAAGTTCTGATCCCCAAGTAATTGGCAGGGGGTTTTAAATCTATTTTCTCTTTCTTTTTTTCTATGCTTAATGCTTTATATTGTATCATAATATATTTTGTATTCGTACATCCCTGTTCTGTAATTGGGTATTTTACCTGTTGAGCAGTGTACGTAAATAAATAAATAAATAAATTATTGTTAAATTTAAAAAATTTCCTCTCTTAGGAATATTCAAAAATTCTGCCTTATAGCCATGCAACAATTTATTAAATGTAATGTAAATAGACTACTTTTTGCGAGGAAATAACAAATGAGACTATATTATAATTTATGACAACGACATGGCTTATAGCTAGAGCTGGAGTATCCATACGTTAATTTAAATATTGTGGCTTTATCCTTTTCCGAAATTGGCAATGTGTTTAGTATTGGAAAATTCTTCGTAATTTTTATTGTTCATAGAGTTTTGGACACATAAATAATTTTTTTTTAATTTCCTGAATGGCTTGAAAAAATTCAGCGTGTTCAATTGCCCCAGGTATAGCATTCCTACTTTGACATATAAAGGTTTTGAAAAATATTCTGAACCACCTGGAAATTTAGTAGGTATTGCATCGGAATGCAAGCGTATATTAATTTTACGATTACAACTCGACCTGTCCGGGAACCTTGTTCATGATTTTTTGCATCGAATTGCTGTTTGATAAAATGAAGCTGACATACTTTACTGCACTTTGAAGGTGTAAATCCTTTTCATGAATTAGCTGAAATCCAATTTTTACACAAGCTTTCATCCACCGGAAAAGAAAACACACATACTTTTGGCGAATTCACATACTTGCCTTTACAACTAGAGATATACTGCATTTATACGGCATGTTTATGAACTTCTACGTTGACAATTTAATTAAAAAAAAAAACACTAATCATAGCGTGAAAACTAGGAAAATAATAAGCTGTAAGTAACTGCATTCTTGTACTAAAAACGTGTAACTGCGTGATAGATTCTCGAATATTTAACCTAGTACATGTGACGACGCAGGTTCGTATCAAACAGCACAGAGACTTTGTTTTTAGGTCATAATGGCTAACCTTTAACCTGGCAATTTTGCTGAATCTCTTTGTCGAGGAGTACGGATCTTTTACTGTTTAACATCTTATAGACAAGGGATCGTCTACTTTACATCCCTCCGAAGGATGGTACATAAACTACGAAATCCTCGCCTACGATTGTATAGCTTCTGCGTTTTAAGCTGATATACAAGCCGCTATAGTTTTCGTAAATTCTGTAGAGTAGACCAAAAAATTTCTCAGCTATTTATTAAAGTGAAAGAGCATTTATCTAAATACAAGGAGCACATGCAAAATATAAAATCTGTGCACGTGTCTCAAGCAATTTATATTCATCCGTCTCTTTCGTTTGAGTGATTAGGCCGCCTTGTATAAAAATAAAAACCTTGCCGGAAATTGCTGCAGTGGACCATATAATTAAAAGCTGATAACGTATACGAGACAAATGTTAAGACCGTTGGGCGACTTGGGCACCATTCTCGAGAACAGGTAGAAAAAAGTTAATTGCATAAACTCGAGTGAAGCGATGTAGTCAGGGGCATAACGTAACGTTGGACATAGTATAGATAAATCTAAAAATGAATTTGTTCTTTAAAATTGTATATGTGATTTATATACATATATGCATTAAATATTTTTAAATATGTAAAAATTTTATTTAAATGACATTTGAATTACTGTAATTAGTAATCAGCGCAGAATAATTAAATTTAGTTCTCTAAAATATGTACCTGCAATTGAAAATATTTTAGAATATATGTGACTTTATTTAGCCAATAACAATTTAAAGAAAACAAAACTGTTATTTATAGCAAACAATACGATACCTCATTAGAAAACTGGTATTTCCCAGAAAAGACCACGGAGAGGTAAACGCATCCCTTGCCAGGAGGGGAATGGGTAGAGGGAGATATTATTATAGGTTGGACAGTTAGTAAAATCAACAAAAAATTCTGAATGAAAAAATAACTCACCAAAACAATGTAAACTTAACTACACACAATTCACGAACACAATACATACTTATAAGACACTAAATAGGATATACGTAACACATGTTATACACACATTAAAAAAAAAACACTTGAACACTGAAGTTGTGGACGAAATCTATTTATACACGATCACTGATTTATTATTGTCTGTACATCATTCGGTCGTTGGCCGAGCGAGCAAGTCTTAGTCGACGCGAAACGACGGACTCCTCGGGCGTGAGTTCAAATCCCATGACATATATAATTTGGCAATATTCATTGTCTGAAGGAAATATTTCTTCACATTCACTACTGCTTTTACCTATTCTTATTATGACTGGATTAACGGGA